AGCTAAACTCTATTCAGCATAACTGATGGTGGGTTTGACCAAATCTACTAGATAAATAAGACAGTCTCAGTTAAAAACTAGCTTCTGCAGATAGGTCTTTCCATCCATTATCTGACACGCTTGTCCCAATTGGGGTCACGAGGGTTGCTGGTGCCTATCTCCAGCTGTCAATGGGTGAGAGGCGAGGTTCACCCTGGACAGGTCGCCAGTCCAACGCAGGGCAACACAGAGACAAACAGGACATAGAACCACTCACACACACACACCTAAGGAGAATCTAGAGAAGCCAAATAACCTAACATTCATGTTTTTTGGACTGTGGGAGGAAGCCAGAGTACCTGGAGAGAACCCACGCATGCTCAGGGAGAACGTGCAAACTCGATGCAGAAAGACCCCAGGCCGGGAACCAAACCCAGAACCTTCTTGCTGCAAGGCAGCAGTGCTACCCACTGCCCCACTGAGCTGGTCTTCCCACCATTTGTTTTCCTTAATTTTATATCGCATAAACCTGGCCTTTTATAAGAGGCATGCTCACTTTTATGCTCATCGTAGGTCTTTTGACGATTAAAATACATTCATATTATGATTGTTACCCTAGCAAGTAGGAGTGAGCTCTGCATCAGTGGTGGCTGCAACAGACCACCATGAAGAGGAGGAGAGCAGTTAGCATGTAAAAAGATCATATGTGTGGGCACAGAGAAATGATATGCCTGTTGTCCTTGCTGGGCTCGTGTTAGTGTGTTGGAGGCAGAGCCTGACTTTATTCCTGCCCTGCTTTGTATATATACTGTGTGTATCTGTGAGCGTCCTGGTCCACACACATGTGGGGGTGTGCACTCTTTTTTTTTTTCTTTTTCCACAGGCCGTCACTCGTGCTCCTGCTGCTGAGTCTTTGGTAACTTACAGAGCCTGTGTGCATGTGTGTGTAGGCTTTTGTTTAATTTCTACTTCCTGTTTTATTCTTGGCCTAATCCAAACGCAACACAGCTGTGCAGTGAGCCAGAGAAAAAGGGATGGGGTGGGGGTGGGCTGCTGCCGGGTCCTTGTGAGTGTAGCCATGTTTTACAACTGCTACCAACAGATGGAAGGGGAAATGGGGTTACAAGCAGAGGCTTATCTTCTGTTTGTAGGCCAAACTGACCCACCACCATCAATATCACCTCATATGGCCATAAGGCTGTGCTTAAATCTCTTTGTATTTTGGTGTCTTACAAAGCGGGCCGATGCGCTGACCATGAATGAGGATTCATGTCTGAATCAGTGACATTATGCCTTTAAAGAGAACTAGTAAAACATCACTAAAATGTTCTCCATTCATAAACAAGAAGGAGTGTACAATAAGAGGCATACTCTGACGTATAAATGGGGAAATAGAGCTAACTTCTACTAAACTAAGAGCTATTACAGTTTAGTAGCTTTGACCACATCAGATATTAAAGGAGACTAAAGTCTCTACTGATACTTTAGGTCGCCTTTAACCCGTCATTGAGTTTCCTAGTAAAACATTTCTTACATAATCCATTTGTATCACTGACTGCTGAAGAATTATTCTTCTTAAAGTAATATTTGATCATAGCCACGCTAGCAGTGCCAAAATCAGACTTTCTTTCCTTAATCTTAAAATGGACTGGGCAGGCATTACAAGGCTAATTACGGTACAATTGTTAGAGAACATTAGCAATAAAGAGCTGCTCGCAGATAAAATTAAGGATAGATTCAAAGCACAGACGGGCAAAAAAAAAAAAGTATTCCAGGCCTTTAACATCTCATAGTGCTCTGTTCCAGAAATAGAAAGCACAGCACAGCTGCAAACATAAAAGACATTGGCTGTCCACCTAAAGCGATAGGCTGGGCATGGAGGGGATTAATAATCTGAGCAGCCAAAGGCCTTTAAACTCTGGCGAATCTGTTAATAACACATCTACTACTTGGGTTTTACTAGTCTGGTATATGTAGCAGTGTAGCAAGATGAAAGCTATCGTTGGCCAAAAGAAAAAAAATTGTTTGTGTTTTCTGTTTGAGTGAAGAGTCGGATGAAAAAATGTGGATCAAGGTGTTCAGGTGAGATGAAAACAGAATGGTATTTTATTAAGCTAAATTCAAATACTGTTTGAGCAACATCCTGGACATGTCATCCCCATGGTGAAGCCAGGTGGTGGCAGCATTATGATATGGGCATGGTTTTCTTTCTGTGAAGACAGGGAAACCTATCAGGACTGATGGGAGGATGAATGGAGATAGAAAGACTCACTTCTAACTGCACAGTTTTCCCTTCCTGAATCTCCTACTGGGAGCCAATGAAGGATTATTCTGTTTGACGACATAAGGCTTTTAGAGAATTTTGCTAAAGAAGCTTCTATTGGTTTCTTAAGGATCCAAATCCTAAACTTTTTATTCTGTCACATGAAAAAAAATGTGTTGAGTTTAAGCGGAGCAATTTTTGCAAGGCACTGTCATAATTTTTGATGCACCAGCAAAAATGTATCAAAGATACATTTTTGGCTCTTGTTCAGACAAGGTCACTTGTGTAGCTTTGCCTTCTTGCTCCGTTTCAAAGCTTTGAGATCCTCTTCTTATCTCATTTCCCTAATTGCACATCCTTACATTCCTCAGTGCCATCTTAATCTCTGCTACTAGAGTAACAAGCAGAGAAGAATGCAAAAACAAGATGTGGAGAGGATAGTAATCATTTATTAGAGTCAGAGTCTTGCTTTAAGGCTGGACTCTTAACTTGGTGTTAGCTAAATACCACAGCAGAGGTCTTAGGATAATTTTGCACATATAGTTATTTATAGCAATCTGGATAAGAAAAGATCGTGTTTCACTCTAGTTTGATTATCTAGGAAACTTATATCTATAATTCCTACCAAAATTAGAGCCAGACAGGACATCAGAAGAGCAGAGGAGCCACAAGATAGACAAATGAGTTGAAATTTGCATTTTCTGTTAGGGTCAAAATAACCACTGTGAGAAAGAGCTCCGTGTTTGGACATTTTATGCCAATATGTAAATTGAGTACAGGTGATAAAACCAAAGCAAAGGAGGTCCATTCACTGAGGTTGCCTGTAGCAACGGAAATAAACTTTTAGTTGAACCTTTGGTGACAAACAAAAGGTTTGTGCACTTTTTAAATAGAGGTCTTCAGGGAAAGTTTTATGAGAATTTGTCAAGGACCTGAATTCACTTACAGGTTGATCTCTTTGAGAAATGGCAGGTTTAGATAAATTATTCCGCTTTTTTTCAATTTGTTAGTGCATTAAACTTTACTCTGGAATCTGGTTGAAAATGTTCTCTTTGGCAATTCTTCAAACAAAAAACTAATAGCAACCTGGAGTGATCTTATTAGCATCAAAGATCTTGATGTAAGCAGGGAGCTAATCAACCTTGAATAGCTTCAATTAGAATAAATGTCCATTTAGCACCCAGTCAGAAACTTTAAACTGGACAACCTACCTTTCTTTTAACCCACCTTGGTGTGCAGCTGTGCTCTACAGTGCTTATAATTTATGGAAATAAAAGTCAACTTGTTTCTGCTCTATTTCATGAATGGTCATGCTACCCCTTAATTTAATGGAGACCTGAGCAGGATGCCCAAAATCTCATTTAATAAAACTGAATTTAATATTTTCCCCAATTTTTTTTCATTGTTTCATTACATATTCTTTAAATGATTAACAATTTAACTAAAAAGAAATTCTTTTGAATAAAAGAAATGTGTTAAATGTCTAAACCTGTAACATGTGCTAACACATCATAGAAGCTGGAGGTCCAGAAATGAAAGGTTTAAAACTTGATCGGTTGAGTTTCTGTGTGTGATGAAAAGCACATCTGCCTGTGAAGAGCCCCAGCCTTTACCTCCCTTAGCACATTCATTATTAATCTACCAGTCTTATCCTCCTCCTTGGTTCAGCCAATTATAGGCAGGCCCCTGTGCTTCGCTGCCCGTCTCATTTGACACCATGTTGGTCTGCTTTGATGACTCTATCAACTTGAACGGGCAGAGGACAGAGCTTTAATAGAGGCAGAGGATGTTGGGGGGGATTATGTGCCAGTAACCTCGAGGGGTTAAACATCTTTTTTTTATGTATATGTTTAATTCATACTTTATTTTATTATCAGAAGGCTTTGGGCCATGCTGCCTCCAGGGTCTTGCTCTCCCATCATACAGACATGGTTATAAATCCTGTTAGTCTTATTTCTGAGTCGGGCCGGTCTGGAGAGCCGGATTGCACCCCGAGGCCTCTCCCTCCGGGGCTGGATAAACTTTCCCTTTTTCCCCGTCATTCCACAAAGAGATTGCCTCGATTAACCAGCAGAGGCCACTTTGCGTGCAATCCTCACGGTTTAGCGTGAGGTCAAGCTGCTTTCAGCTCAAAAATGAGATTCAAATTAGAAAAGAAAATGGCAGCTCTAGTACAGATTAGCAATACAGACAAAAGAGGCCCTTCAGTTGAACTTTTAATAACAATCCTCCCATCAGTCCTCCACCTTGGGTCCAAACTATTTGCAGCCGTGACCTTTTAAAGCAGGAAGTTACTGTTAGCGCGCCTGGAACAGCTGCATCGACAACCTGCTTTACAGCATATTTCCCCTTAAAGAGACCAACGCTGGCGCTCGTTTTCCTCCCCAACTTGTTGCACATACTCCAACTTAGCCACATTTTAACTATGCAGTCTTGGGTGTTGTCACTTGAAATGATCCCTTGGGAAAGAAACTTTTATTTTAGTATATCGAAAGCCAACCCTATCCACTTTCATTAGCAGGGAGCTGAAAGGAGAAATGACAAACCTCCAGAGGTATTCTCTAAACATGACTAAAAGCACTGGGGAACCCAATGCAGAAGACGCATCTCAAAGCTGGATTCTGTAAGAAATGACAACATTGCATACATTTATTTGGGATGGACTCAAATTCCAGTACATGCTAAGAAAAAACAAAAACAAAACAAAAAAAAAAGATAATGTAGTGTTGACATTACTGCAAACACTTTCCGGTCTCCCTGCTGTTTTGTGTATTATATTTTATTATCTTAGGATAAAAAAACATTAACAATTACATGGGATGCCTTGTTCTGCATAATTTAACGTATACACAGTGGGAACAGGAATGGCAATGCTTTGAACATAATCACCGCCTCTTCGCAACCGCCCCGCCCCCCCCCAACCCACTGCCTGCATGCAGTTTGCACTGCACTAAGGCCAAAAGTCACATGAGACAGCCTGCAAAGAGCACAAGAAGCATTCACAGTAAAGGAATATAAGAAAGGAGGGTAGAAGGGAAGAGCAAAAGATTTGGGGGGGAGTGGGGGGGGTCATTGGGGGGAACAGGGGGGAGTGAAACAAAGTGACTGCAGCACTGGCCTTGGTTTAGACAGGAGAAGGAGCAGCATAGTTCTAGTATTTTATTCCAACTTCTCCCACACTTCAACTCCCATCTCCTGATTGTGGTACTCTTTCCATTGTCTTTGACACAAAAAAAAAGTTTGTTTATATACGCATGTATATATATGTATATACATATATGTATGTATGTATATATATATAAACACATCTTTATAGCTACAGCACCTTTTCCCATGGGGCAACAGTGTCAATACCTAGCACATGGTACACTGCCCTGCCAAAAAAGAAGAAAAAAAAAAGAAAAATAATACAAACAAAAACAATATATTGGTCAGGATATTTATCTTTTTTTTTTCCCTAAAATTGGCATTCGACATGATGATATTCTATTGCCATCTGGGGGAGGAAAAGGGACAAAGGTTCTTCTTTTGAGTTTATATTCAAGTTTTCTCCTTTTTTTTTTTGTTTTTAAATTCAGGTGTATGATTTCTTCTTTTCCTGCTTTAAAAAGAGTTCACACTTTTGTGATTTGCGTGTGGTGCTCTTCATCAAAAGGTTCATTTTCCGGATCAGAGTCAGTGGTGTCAGAGTATCTGTAATGGTCTGGCTCATTGTCGCTAACGTCTGGGGTGACGGACGTCGAAGTGCTAGCCTCGGAATTAGAAGGCTCCTCCACGGTTTTTGTAAAATACAACTTCACCTGGAAATGGAGAGCAGAGTAGTTAATCCACGTTCTTCAGCAGCATGTCGATGTTCTACAGGAAATGAGCTACCAGTCGGTACTTACTTTGAAGTTTGGAGAGAAGTAGCGATTGGCTTTATCTTTATTCGCCTTGTCCAAGTCGTTCTTGGTGAGCGTCAGGATGAGGTAGTCTTTGTCTCCTTCCCTGCAGCCGTCCCTGCTCTCTGCGTTCTGCTGCTGGCCCTGACCCGGTCCTCCCTGCTGGCTCTCCGTATTGTTCACCGCCCCGTTCTCCATCTTTTCCCCACTCTCATCTGGTCCAGGAATGAAGAACGTGTTCACCCAGAAGTGGAACATTTTGTCCTGACGTTGAAAGATGGTGACAAAAAAAAAAAAGGAAATTTTTTTAACAGCATTTGGGGGAAAAAAAAGAAAAATCGATTAGAATCTGGCAATTTTTTTTTTTGTTTGCTCAAGCAATTAACTAATTGTATGTTATTTTTTTGACTTATAAACGATCTTTAAAATGGTGTGTGTTGGCTAGTCCGATATGCGTCACACATCCTGACAGCAACTTCCTGACTAACTTTAAAATACGGCTTCAAAGGACAGCACCTCCAGAGACATAATTCACAATAGGGCTGAACAACTTTGCCAAAAATCTAGATCAGAATTATTTTTAACCAATATTGTCTTTTGCACTAACCACAAGCATGTAGATATTTCACTGAAGGATTTCCTTTTTTTTTAGGACTTTGAAAGCTTGCTTCTCCGCATTCTATTGTTGCAGGACTGTACTGTAACCTTCTACTATCATGCATGATCTACAAGCTAGCTGCATCTCACTGCAAACCAGCTTTAACAGCCACCTAAAAGGCTGAGAGAGAAATGTGATGTCTTACTCTTGCTAAATGTAATTTGACTAAAATTGGGTGCCTCTGCGATTTGAAAATTGCGATTATATTGCTAATGCAATTAATTGCCCAGCCCTACTTCACAATGATGAGAAATGAGCAGTATTATATTATATTCTTGTTACACCCTAACCAATCATGCTAACTGCTACTTTAGGAGCCTCAAGACAGCCTTAAAATGTCGACTTCTTTATAGTAGCTACACCCCGTTTTCTCCTCTCTAAAACAAGCTGCCCTGATATATTGGTAGAGGAAGGATAGAAATCTATATTTCAAAGGTTGTTATAGTTCTGAAAGACAAACCCGAAGTGGTTAAAATCCCCACAGTAAAAACTCTACAATAGTTAGAAATTGATGAACTGGTGAATCTGCTCAATTTGACTGAATCCTTTCTCCTTATGCTTCCATTCATTAACAGAAAGGTGATCTTCACCTTTTTTTAGGCTCTAATAACCGGTTTAAATTTTCAACACACAAGAAAAAACAAACAAACAAAAAAAAAGTAAACTAACCTTTTTCATCATTTTATTCTGCTTGTGGAAGAACTCCACCTTGATGTCTCCACAAACGGGCAGCGGCTGGGGGAACTCAAAGATCATGTGCTTGTCCTCCCTTCTGGTGTGAGCTGGGTTGGATGTGTGGATCTTGACCTTGAGTTGGTATACGACAAACTGGGGATCTACGGAAAGAGCGGCCATGTTCCCCCAAAGGATGAGAGGTGAGATAGGTGGCAACAAATAAAGAAAGAACAAAACAAAAGGAACAAGTGGGGATGATGTGAGAAATGGTGATGGGGGGGGGGGATAAGGAGAGCAAGACAGGGCATTCCCACTGTTATTACACAAGCTGGACAATAGACAGCACCACACCACCTCCTGCCCACCCAGTGAGTTCAAAAAGTGACAGTTTAATGTAAACAATGTGAGAGGAGAAAGGTAAGTAACACATCACAAAATGTTACACCAAAAAAAGGAACATAAAAAAAAAAGGCAGAATAAGAGACATAGAACCCTATTCTGACAGATATGGTTTAGTTTTAGGCGAGCGCAAAACTTTGCACTTTGACCAATTTTACCCTCTCCGTTTCCTGTCAGGGTGTGGGGGGAGGGGGTGGTGCTGGATATGACTTCATATTCCTCTTAACATCTTCTATATCCCTGCCAGGCAACACGTCTACCTTTAAACTACTCCTGCCTGGCCGATCTCTGGGGCCGTATAAAAGCAAATGAGTAAAATAACAATAATGGATGAAAGGCTCATTTACCCCAATGCCAATTCCCTTTCTTGAAGCCCTGAGGGGTCGGCTCGCTCCTGTTTTTAACGGTACTGTCCCCTTAGAGAGAAAGAAGGAAATCATCACAAGCAGGGCCTGGCTGGCCGGTCAGGGGCTTCACAGCACAGCAGGCATAAACAGAAAAATATTCACACGTTTGCATCACGGTATGTTGTCCTAAACATGCATTGTGTAACTTTACAGGAGGTGGGCGTCTTTCACTTCTGAAAAGGCGTCAATTGGGCATGAGATGCACAAAGGGGAAGCAGCAAAGAGGGAACTTCAGATCAATGAAATAAAACATCAGATGTGTGTTTTATGCGTGATTTGAGGCTATTTTGAACAAAATAATCGAGCCTCTTTTACTGGATTGTAGAGCAAAACAAAAAAAAAAAAGAATCTGGGGTTATTTTTCTCAGAATAGGGCTTTGGTTTTAGTTAAAAAGGGAGAAAAAGCAGGAAAGACAATGATCAATAAAGTCAGAGCCTAAAAGCAGATTCCAGTGTTAAGGCGAAAGCCACAAATATGAAGGAAGAAGAGCTTCTTTATTCTGACCAACAGCTTCGAAAAAGAAACCAACAAATTTAGATACAAGAGCAACTCGGGTGACTCACACACATTGCAGCACATAGGCCGAGTTGTTGGATTCTTTTTAAAACACTCTTTTAAACACAAAGTGTTACTAAACAGCACAAACGGTAGAAACGTCACACTGTTAGGAGCCCTGCCATGAGTTTTAACGTTCGTCACTGAAACAGGTGACCAATGACAGGGAATGTTAGCGCAGACACGCTGCTTTACAACATCCACATCCCTCTGGGCTCAGAGCAAACACAAAATGATGTGTAAATAAAGATAACTTATAACTGACTTATAAAGATGAGTGGCCTCCTATTGTATGCAAAAAGGAAGCAGTGACTAAAACGTTTTAATTCCTCTATCTCTGAGCCACTTCCTGGTTTTAAGGCAGTAAAACAGAGCGGATCATGATATTGTGGAAGCATCCTTTAGCTTGTGTGCACTGGCCTCCACTTCCCCAGTGACGTGCTGCTGTAAAGACAGATTAGATTATTCGTATTTCATGTCGCCAACATCTACTTCCATCTAAATATTTTACCTGATCACATTCATGTATTTTTTTAAATTAAATAGTATTGTTTTTGCAGCAGCAATTTTAAAGCCGGGTCTGTTTAAAAGCTCACTGGTAAAGTTCTGAAGCAACAGTTATTAAAGCATTAAAACAAGATTTTAACCTTTTTGAAAGCAGCAGAAGAAAGAAATGATCAATATCAAGCTGCACTTATCTGTAAAAAGTCCAAACATAGCGGACCAATTTGACCAAAGGTGGATTTTTTTCTTTTTTAAAATCACAGGTCATCAGGGGATAACCCACTCTGCTAACTGCAGATTTACTGAATCCCTCTCTTCCTGTTCTCAGCAGCAGCAGGCCGCCTACGTCCTACTTAGAGCCGAATCTGAACATGAACTTGAACTCACTGCAGGTGCCCCCGCTGAACATGGGGAGGGTCTCAAAGACCATCTTGTGGAACAGCAGCGCCACCGGTTTGTACTCCAGCTGGTTCTTTAGCAGGTAGTTGTAATAGTAGACGTATCTTCGCTGGCTCGGGATGGTGACCCCCTGCAACACAGAACACGTTGACATTTTCAATAAGCGACCTCCATGTCAAAGTAAACGCCTTTTAGGGGGCTCAAATATCTGTAATGGTTTGTCACAGGGAACACTATTCCAGCCACCACATTCAGAAGTATGGCGGGAGTCAAGCTCCACTCCTGGGGCTTCACCACATAATCTGCCGCTTGCTGATGCCCCATCAATGAGGTGAACCCGGATTCTATCGAACGCTTTGCTGTGCTCCTGAACGCACCTCTACATATAGGTAACATAAAAATTGATCGGTACGTTGCTGGAATCGTTCGGTGTATATGCACCACTGGAAAACAAACACCTACAGACAGAACCTTCCAAGACGACACAAAATACAGGACAAGGCCAGAGCGTCAACCCTTCAGGGACCCATGGCCACGATCAGGACAGGGTTTCCTACACACTTTGTTACATTATAAACTTCTCCAGACTCTACTTCCTAGAGTTCTTAAACCTTTATATTCAATTAAAAACAGGGATGATAAAGGCAGAGGAAAGAGGAGTAGAACAGGAACGAGGGAGGGAAGGATAGACACATGGAGTGAAGAAAGAAAGGAGACATGGAAAGAAAAGACGAAGTGAGGTTGAAGGGTTAGGGTTACAGGGAAAGAAAGAATTAGGGTATTAGAGGACTGACACCAGGAGGGAAACTAAGGAAAGGGGAAAAGAAAAGAGGAATGGGTGGCAAAAAAGCAGGGCTGGGGGGGAGAGAGAGAAATAAGAACGTAGGGGGGGGGGAACAATGTAAAAGGGTGATACAACAGAGCTAAGAGATATTAGCTAGGGGAAAGAAGGTAGCAAGGAAGGACTGAGACAAAGATGGATATACAGTAAAATGAGGAAAATAAATTAGAAAGTATGCAATAAAAGGAAGGACAGGGAACAAAGAACCTGAAATTTCCTATTTTATAAAAATCCAGTCATGGCGGCCAACTGACACCAACGGGTAGAGCCTCCACTCTCACCTTCCTGTCCCGTGTCCTGACTTCGCCGTAGAAGTCGAGGGCATCTTGGGCGTCTGTGAACTTGCCCCGATGGAGGAGATAGGCGCAGATCATGACTCCGGTGCGGCCCTTTCCGGCCTTGCAATGGATGGCTGCCACGTGATTGTCGTCCTCGCTGAGCCACTGGTCCAGGTCTTCGCAGAACGGTTTAATCAGCTCCAGCTGAGGGGGGTTGTGGTCTTCAAAGGGGTACTGTGCAACTGATGCGGGACCAGCCCACGCAGAGTCAGAAAGAAAACGAAAACAGGCAAGCGGATGACGGAGCGTGAGAAAAGTGACCATTTTGACAGCTTCTAAAAATTCAAAGATGATGAGATAAAGCAGCCTACCTCTGCAGTTAAATTTGGCAGCATCGTAGTGTCTTTCTGCGCAGCTGAAAAGGGAAGAGACAAACTGCAGTTAGCCGCCACGGAGAGGAAGTTTCTAAGTAAACACAAATTAGAGGAGATACAAACAGTACAGAGGAGCACTCACAGGTTGTAGATTTTGTAATGGTTTTTATGCTTGGAATCCAAAAACCTGTGCAAAGAAAAAAAAAAAAACTATAATGAATTGCAAATCAAATATATCTATAAATCATATGAAATAAAGAGTAAACCATCACTCACCGTACTACATCATCTATATTGTTTCTGTACACGCCTTCAAGTCTCTCTGCTGGAAAGCCCATAGCGATGATGTTTGGATAGATATCTGTTCAGCAGGAGTTAAGAAAAAGACACACCGACAGAAATTCATGACACCCCCCCCCCCCCCCTAAAATCTCTTTACATGAATACAAAGATGAGCAGCAGGCCTTATTAAAGTTTCCGTCAATGTCAATTTGAGGTTATCTTGGTTGTTATGGAAAGATGGGAACACAGAAAGGGCCTTGATCGGTGTGGATATTTGCATCTCGTGGCAGATGGCCTTGACGGTGAGAGGCAGAGAGGACAGGAGCAACAGTACTCCTGCCACAGCCAGGCCCCACATGTGGGAGCACACAGTGTCTCCGCTCCTTGACCTGCAATCTATTTATAGAGTGCAAAAGTTATATCGGGACGAGTTCAAATGTGCGGCTTATCAGTTTAAAGGTCTAATTTGAATATCTGTTAGACCGGGAGCGGGCATCATGACGTCATATGATAGATAAAGAAAAAAAAAAGAAGATTCAAACAGACATGCTTTGTGTAACGGCTGGAAAGCTGCAGCACAGCCACAGATAAAAGTAGGATTCTGTTTTACATTTTTATGCATCTCATCTGCAGGATCATGGAGCGGGTCTAAAAGTGGGACCAAATTCTTAGGTGAAGTGTCACAATTGTGATGAATTGAAAAGAGAAATTCGGTTAGCATGCATGCTTTAGAACCGCGACTGCAACGCCTACCTGCAACCAAAGCCTGCTCATCGCCGTGTGCTGCAGGATTTCACACTGTAACCACTAGCTGAAAGAGCGCCATCTCTTACACCCTGTGTGGCGAGGTGTCAAAACGACAGAAATGGAATATGTTTCGTTTGGACGCATCTCCTCCGATTTGAATCCGGTCAGAACAATTTCACACACACATCTGAGCTGCTTGATCAGAAAATAAAAACGGACAGAATCTGTCATTAATCAACAGACCTGCAGGTTGAGAGAACAGGAACTAAAGGTCAGCTGTATGTGGGGTGAAACATACAGAACTAATGGCCCATGAATTCAAGAAGCCAAACAGAGAAAAACAGTCAAAGATTTTAAAGTATCTTGTGTGAAAATAATTTTTTATAGGATTTGCTTAAACTGTACGATAAAAATGTATTTTATTACCTTAATTTAAAAGATGGTAAAGGAACTCCAAAAATGTAACATCTTTAACTGATCTAAATGTTTTACTTCATATTTAAGAGTCGTTGCTGCAGCTTTTATAACAAACCTATTAAACATCTCGAAAGGTGCAGAATAAAAAAGGAAAACCTGCTGATTGCATCCAATCATCGACTCTTCAGCAATCCCTCACAACAAGGGAATATAAATATTTAGCTCAGGTTTCGATGCAAACATTGAGACGAAGCAATATTGTGTATAATAGGTTAAAGTCACCTGAGACAGAGTTCAGGAATCGGTGCAAACTTTTGGAAGTAATGCAAAGGGTGGCAATTCCTGTCAGGACATGTTGGTTGAATGGTAAATAGTATATCATGGGGACGCAACAGTGGACGAGTGTGAGTGCCACCTACTGGATAGGAGGACTTAACCTGAAACCATCACCATTAATGCGTAAACCAAACACTTGAATCAGTGCTTCACACATAAACATGTTTAGTTAGCAAAAAGGAAAAAATCAGCTCCATAATAAGAAGTGTGACCTAAACCCCCGCCAAAAAAAGCAATCCCCATTTACCTAGCTTCATGGAAGTCCGAGTCACCTAATTTAGAGCTCCAAAAAAATTTAAATTCTGTAAAATATAAATAAAGTGCATATCTATTGGATAGAATTCAAAGAATCTACAATCTAAATGGTCCCCATTTGGCCTTTTAACCAACTTTCACATCCTTTCTCCAACTCTGGCAATCATCCACACAGACAGCAGCCACTGCTGCACTAAAGGCCACTAAATATAGATATTTGTTTTTTTTTAGTGGACTAGTTATTGCCGGCTCCCATCGTGTAACAACTAAGTAACAACACAGACGCGTACTTGGGTCAATTTGGGGCCGTGGACTTTCAGACTATAGTGGTCATATAAAAAAAAAAAAAAAAAAAAAAAAAAAAAAAAAACTGTGAACAGCCATGTTAAAGAAGTTTTTCACACTTCCAGTGCTGAGACTTCCAGTCAGCCTTACCTTAATGGTGGTGAGTAGTGAGTGACCAATCAATGCAAACTTAACTAACGGACAATTTTCTGGCATCTCGCTGATACATGGAAACAGTAAAAAAAAAAAATAAATAAACTCAACTACAATAAATTAAACTGTCATTTTTAGAAACCTTTGTATACATTATCCCCTAATTGTGTGTGTATATATATATATATATATGCTTCAAATACCTAATTAAGTTCTAGATTCACATCTAACGGGTTAGTCCAGCCTCCGGTGTAAAATTTTTTTTTATAAATAAATAAAAAAAAGTCCAAAACTCCCAGGAGAGCCTCGGTCAAAGAGATAGGAGGCTTGGTTTCTTCAGCTGGGAAGAAATGCATATATAGGACCCCAATGTACGCCTGAATGTGAAAAAAAAATTAATCTGTTACTTAAGGCACGCCTCCTCTTTAAAGCTAGCCCTGCCTGAGCTTTATCCATACACCAAATCCACAACTTCAAGCAACGTCGAGGAGGGGTGGGTAAAGGGAAAGTTGGAAGCACAGAGAACCAAGCAAGGAGGAGGAGGAGAGGACAGGAAAGGGGGCAAAGAACAAGGAGGAAGAGTTGGAGTGGGAGTAGTTAAGGAAAAAGAACCAAAAAAAAGGAGATTGTGAGTTGAAAAGGCTGAAAAGAGAGGGAGAACCAGAGAGAGCACTCAGACAGCAACACTGATACAAGATCACCAGCAACTCTATTTTAAGGGCAATTCCCAGAACTGTGATACTGCATTACATAACTGCAGAGAGAGCCTGTAAGGTTTTTAGATGCAATGCTCAAAAAATAAATGAAATAAAAAATGATAAAATGCATCAACAACAAAGTACCCACATCTAAACTGGCGGGAGACCTCAATGAAAAGACACTTTTGGTAGAAGCCACCCCCCTCCCTTTAACACCTGCATCAGGGCACAGACAGGCACACCGCAGCGTCCTGCCACCCCCTGAAAGACATATTCATTTTACCATATTATGAAACCAGGTGATAAGACGTCTGACCTCGTGCAGCAATGTATGGTAACACATGCATCACAAGGTTAGTGTCTGAAGGCAACAGCTAAATCAAGGCAACAAGAAATCACACCAAGCTTAAAATACAATAATCAGCTGGTGGGAAAAAAAACAACAACACAGATCTGATTTTACTTTCATTGAAACAGAATAAAAAAAGAATCTGTGTCTTTTTATAAAGTCATCATGACAGCATGCCATTTAGTGTACTTTTTTCTAAGTTGAAGATAAATCAGATGAAGGCTTTGAAGCACCACCAGGGATGATCTTTTAAGTCCTTCATTTACTGTTAGATTTAAAACTTAACCAAAGAGTCTGAAGCATGGTTTGTTAATTGGCTGCAAGTCCTAAAGGAGGGGGGGGGGGGAATAAATCAAATGCATCTGGCAAGTTGGACTTTACAAAGTACAAATGGGAACCAGCCAAGGGTTCCCCTGATCAATGCATCTAGTAAAAACAAGCCATGCTGTTCTCAAGCTACTAAAACAGTGATGGATTATAGCTTAATAACCACTTAAAGCTGAATTTACCAACTTACTTTGAATGTGAAAATAGATCAATGAAAAAACTATTTCACAATATGTAGCATCTACAGCTTCATAATAACCCTAAATAGTATACTGAACTCAAATCTGGATAAAATTACATTTTTCCAACTCCTAGGAGTGCCATCTTTACATCAGATGCCAAATTGATCTATTGAAATTCAACAATGACCTCAAACGTCACATTATGATGCAGACTGCATTGTGGACCAAATCAGCTGTTAATCTGGTTTCTAGTTTACAGTGAACCAGATCAACAACACTACCTGCTTCCTCAAAGCCAAACTGCAACCCAGCCCTCACGAAGCACCTACAAACAGGCATTTGATCATAAATAAATTAAGAAGAGATGGGTGGATCGTGGTGATTTACTGAACTTTCACTTCCTAGACAGTTCCCCATCTCATTCATTAGAGCCACTCCGCCATAATAAACCAGAAGAACGAGTAATGCAGAGGATTCTGCAACTGCTCCCAGCTGCAACCCGAAATCCAATGAGTTAATAAAAAAAAATAATAATCTGAGAATCTGTACACTTTTCAACTAATTTGCATTACAGGCAAAACTAACATACCTGGAAAGAAGGGGGAGATTGCAGATTTTAATAATCCCTGTGACATTTCTGCTGGCTGCTTTGACAGATCCAGCCTCTTTCCAACATGCTGGGTGACAGCAAAGCAACTAGCCCACAGCTAACTTAGGCAGCAAGGAAGCTCACCGACCTCACGTTCCCCCGCAGACGTTTTTGGCCCCGTTTCTGCAAATACATTCAACAAAGCCTTAATACAAACCAATGGCACCCAACACTGCGGAGACCAGAGAAGGATACACGTTAAGTCCAAGTCGAAACCGTCCTCCTGGTATCTCCTTTTGTTCCGACTGACCATTTCTTTTATAATCGCAGCCATCGTAGCAGGTGATACAAGATGAGTTTATGTGGGGAAGGGGGAGGTGAAAGTTTATTCAGTCCTCTCGGTAGCTGACTGCCGTGTTTTGCGGGTCCTCGCACAGAGCAGTGGCTGTCGGTGGGATTAGAAAGGCTTCCTCTGGATCATAAAGACGGGCCTTGCTCCGTTCCTCGGCGCAGGCCCGACTTTCCCAATCCTGCGATTCGTCGTGCAAACGCTCCCGGTTAAAATACATGCAGTTATCCTCGGGTAAAACTCGTAAGATTTCCGCCGTTTTCCGAGCGATGAGGTTAGAGAACTCACCGGCTCTCAAAACCAGTATCCAGTCACTGAGACGTAGCCAGCTAGAGTGGCTAATGCTACCTCCTTTTTCGATCCAAAAACCTCCTAACGATTCAACATTGTCATCGACTGATTGCCAAGAACACATTTGAGAAAAAAAATTAAAAAAGTGACAGGCTCCACCTTAGATGTATATAGACTATACAACGCTCATAAATCCGCTCGAACTGATTTGACAGTTTCGTCCCGGTGAATCATCTTCTTTTCTCGCTCCAGCTGAACTCTCAGGCTCCCATCATGGCCTCCAACCGAAGGAAAAAAAGAAGCTAGAGCAGGCTAGCACTTTACAACATGTATCCCGCCGCCGAGGCTAAATAGTCCCAACAAAAATGGAAATTCGGAGAGCGTTAGATGACTAAATGCGGATTTTAATAACTTTATCCGCTTTTTAAAATAAAAAATATTGTAAGTGCAAAATACAAAAAAGATTTAAAGGATTACTTTTCTGTACCTCAGGCGGAAGGATAAAAATGTATCTGCATCGGTCCCTTCTGTCAAACTGGTCACGTGTGACTGTAATTAGGGAAGTTTCCAACATAATGTCACTTCTTGTGGTTTTAACTGTCATTTTACACAATATAAAATATGTCATGGTAACTACTAAATCAAAAAGAAATGTATTGTATTTCCATACTGCTAAACCTTTTTTTAAGCAAGCTAACTAGTTAATTAAATTCTACAATATTTTTCAGATATAATTTCAACAATGAATTACTGATAAAACCCAACTTTTATAGCATTTGTACTTTTAATATAGCGAATATTTCAAGCATGGTAGGCGTGTCTGATAAATAGCGACATTTAATGATAGAAAGAGAAATTAATTAATCGTTTTAATCACAAATTTCAAAAACTGCTTTTTCTCAAGTGGGTTGGGGAGGTAAAAAAAAAATTAATTTCAAACGCGTTTATTCAATATAAGATTTTAAAGATTTGCCCAATCGTTTTGAGAATGACTTCATCGACAAATGCAAGAGGTGCTGAAACAATTTCTGCCACTAGAGGTGACTGTGGTGATGCCTACATGAACAGCATTGCCCAAAGCTGTAGTATTTTGGTACTGTTACCCTTTTTCTCCATTTTATTGCTACTTTTACTACTAATGTATGTATGTATGTATGTATGTATGTATGTATGTATGTATGTATGTATGTATGTATGTATGTATGTATGTATGTATGTATGTATGTATGTATGTATGTATGTATGTATGTATGTATGTATGTATGTATGTATGTATGTATGTATGTATGTATGCATGCATGCATGCATGCATCCATGTTTGCATGTATTTTCCACCTTTACATATTATCTGTAATGCGATAACCACTGGATTTGTTCAACTAAGATTTAAATAAACAAACTTTGAATTTTTAATCCCTGTGAGGTTTAAAATACTGACACACATTGTCTCGGACTTTAAAGGATCTATGTTCATAGTGTATCTTTAAGGCTTAAAAATGATTCATGACTTTATACCTACAGCTAATGTTTCTATAAACCATTGCATGCTTTTAAGCTGATGCAGATTCCTTTAGACCTAGGATAATTCTAGCATTTTACTCTGGATTTGTCTTGTTGTGAATTCGACTCATAACATGTTTCATCGCAGCTCCATAGCAGTTGTTAATATGCAAAAAAAAAAATACACTTCATAAGAATAGTGCTCTGCTTTGAAAGTCAAAAATATAGTTATATTGTGCAAATGACATGACATAGAGGGCCAGAAAAATGTGACAGCAAATACATGCGCTGATTTATTGCTGACACCATCTATCGGGAACAATCCATGCAGTAAAAATCAAAATCTAGGAACTAATTTCTGCAAGGGACTCCACTGACATTATCTCATTTTAGCATGGGGATTACCATGACTGAGTAAATGTCCTCATTCAGGTCCTGATAACCTGAAGCCCATCATTAATTTATTAATGTAACATAATGTTATTCATACTATTCATGTCTGTTTTTATTTCAACTAACATTGAAATTTAAAACAAAAAAAAGGTAAATGCTAGCTAGGAGACTTCCAACCCTCATGCAGGAACACCATTATTTTAAAGCTAAATAGGACAAAATTCTATTATAACAAGAAGCCCTAAATATTTGATGCAAATGATTCTTCTTAAAAAGCTTAAAACACAGCACATTAATCCTAAATACGAAATTATGGACAAAACAAATTTAACTTGATAGCAGACAGAAAGAGGAACATGTTATATGTCTCATGATAGAGTATATATACATATTTGGTTTCAATTTCATATTTCCTGTCAACTATTTTAAATCAAATTAATGAAAATGAAAGTATTTAAAATAACCTGTTAACCCGAGTTATAACTTTAGAACATAAAACATTAAATAGATCATAGATTAAATAATATGATCTATTGTAAGCTATTTATGAGTCATCCTCAGGGAACTCCAGCTAATCACTGATGTAGTAGTAATTAGCTTACCTGACCGTTTCATTTTTCCAGCATCAAGTGTTTTAGTTTTAAGGCATCTCCTCAATCTGTTATAAAGGATTTAACTAAATAATTAGAAATAGGGATTGAATGCTTCAAGGGATCTATATATTTAAATGTTAAAGGAGCTGCTCTGAGTGCATGGGTTGAGTTTTTTTAACCTGAAAGCAAAACTTGATTGTGCTGTTCTCAGGATGTTATTCCACCCATTATCCAGCAGATGGCAGCATCGCACCTTTTCTTATCCAGGTCTTAAACCCATAGACGAGTAGACCCAGCATCGATGGCTTTCGCCTATGGGCTCTGAGGTGATTTGGTGGCGCCATCTTGGGGCGGTCGACAGCTCCGCTCTGTAATTTGTTGAGCAGTCAAAATAATCTATTTTAGTCAACTTTAACTCGGTGAATATTGAACTCATTTTCACGATTGTGTTTTTTTTTATGAAAACAAACAAATGGTTCAGTGCATTTGAATATCCTTATGTGGTTAAGAGTAATAGAATATTCTGATAGGATGTATGCATGTTGCAAAGCCAAGCCCCTCATATTTTTTATTTGTATATAAACAAGTATTTTTATACAGGTATTCATGTATATATATATATATATATATATATATATATATATATATATATATATATATATATATATATATATATATATATATATATATATATATATATATATATATATATATATATATATATATATATACACACACTGTAAAATGTCCACAGCTGTATATTGATTATTTATTCAGATTTACTGTATTTATATTTGTAAAAACACTGCGCATTATTTTATTTGTTTATTTTATATACTTTTTAAAAAACTTTGTCACTTATTCTGTTTTTTATACCCTTTTAATGGTCCACAGCTGTGTGACCACTTTTGCTGTAACCTGTTGCTGCTGTAACACCACAATTTACTAATTTGGGGACAATAAAGGGATTTGTCTTTGTGAAGGGATCACCACCGTGCCAAGGCATCCTTCTTCTTTTCTGCGTAAACCAGCTGATTAGGGTAGGGGGGTCGACCTCCCCAAGATGGTGCCAATTATTTTTGTGCTGCAACAGTCAATGCGGGGTCTACTCTTATTTGTACATCTATGCTTTAACCTATTCTACTTTGATCCAAGCATTGTGTGCAGGCAAACATTGTAGGAAACCATGTTGCATCGAAGGCAATGGAAGACTGCGGGATCTCCTTTATGATAAGGGACACATGCTTCATTATTAGAAATGAAGTTAGGATTCATGAAAACATTTGATTTTTTTTTATTGGAACATCTCAAACATCCTCTTTGCTTAAACCAAGACTTTAATCACATGAATACACAAGCAAGTCCACATCCTAATGCCATTCAAGCATCAACGAAACTACAGCAAAACAGCAAGAATGAATAGTTACAGTTTTTGATGACAAGACAGGAAAAAGGCACTTTTCACATCATATAAAACAGCCATATGTTACACTGGCTGGCATTGTGTGTAGCAACAAAAGCACTCTTTGATCATAACTAACATCTGGTATAATAGTCATGTGAAATGCTGCAAATGTAAAATCTATGAAAAAAAATCCTGTTTCCTTCAGAGATATTAAAACATAATTTCAAGTACTAAGCCCACTTCTGAACCTATAAAAAGGAGTCTTAGGTTATTTTTAATTTAATAAAATACATAGCATAAGTTAATATGCTTTTAAAAACATAATGGATTTATAAACTGGTACACTTTCATAGGAATGTAAATATTTTTTAACTTCAATAAATGCCAGAATATAACAAACAAAAACACTTTGCAAGAATATCTCATTGCTTATATAAAACCCTCCCACCTAAAATATCCCCAAAAGGAAAGAGTGTAAAATATATTTGCCCCCAGTTTAAGAGTAAAACTAATTTGAGTGTGGACTGAGCAATGATTAGTTGCTCTTCTGAATAGATGAGTAGTACTCCACCAAGACCTTCCAGGCTTTGGGGGCCATGAAGCCATCTGGAGGGTTATTCCCACTCCGAGCCAAGTTCCTCATCTTGGTTCCAGAGATGAACTCGAAATCTGCATGACTGAGGAATTAAAGAACCACAGTGAGAATAAACATGTCATTAGAAATCAGAATTATGAGATTAGAAATAAAAACTGATGGATGGTCATCTTAAAATAATGGTTTACAGTTACAGTTTAGCTTTTTCATATTCCCTCTAATCGAAACCACACAATTTTATGTATTTTCTAATAATTTAATCTCGCAGACAAACACAACGTGACACGTCATCGGAAAGTGGAAGAACCTTTTTAAAAATAGAAATCTAAAAAGCTCACACTTATTTAGCCCACTTTAATCCTGAACCCTTAAATAAAGTCCACTGCAACCAACTGCATTGATAAGACATTTTTTCATTTATTATCAATTGCATTGATAATAAATGATAACTGGGAGAACAAACAGAATGATAAAGACAAAGCAATATAGCACACAATCAGGGATTGTGTCATTAAAAAAACCCAATGCTAGGGACATCTCATTGAGCACAACGTGGCCGTCTGTCTTTAACAGCAGTTAAGAAGTAGAGGAGGAGAGGTTACTGACTGACAATGATTAGATCATCAAAAAAAATGGATCTGTGTCAAACTGAGGGACACAAGCTGCAGGACACATCAGCTAAGGTTACCTAATGCTAGCTTTCTAAAGTGATGACGTACACAATGAAACCCAGAATACATGAAAAAGACAGGTCCAGATATCCATGATATTTAGAGGTGCACTGATTTTCTTTTCCTTTCCTTTCCTTTTTCTATCATT